AAAAAAAAAAAGAAACGTTTCTCTAGTGAGGCGAAATATGGTATAATATAAGAATTAATCTTACCAACAAGAACTTAACACGGGAAAACTGAGATGTCGACATGATTTCACTTCAAAAGAAAATACTGTGGGGTATATAGACTCGTTGCTAAGCAGTGACTTTGTAAACAGAGGTCTTTCTGGGCAACGGCTCGGTAAACATGTTTCCGTTGCTAGGTAGCAGATTCTTAATAATGCAACAGTTGAACACAAAATAGAAGAACTGTGTTTTCTAAACGGTCCGTGCCGACATGTTAGTTATAAGCAAACGACAAAGTTAGTTGAGTTCAGAGTAGAGTTGTGAGCGGGAAGCTGTGAAGATAGGACCTGAAGGCTGAAGAATCTACACTGTTAGGAACCGTTACCAGGGAACGGCTGCTGAAGATACAGGATAAAAAAGGTTTAGCGGATGTTGTGGGAATTTGTGAATTGTGGAGATCAGCAGTGGCGCCGTGTAGTTCCGAGTCGTGTGTACAAGTGGCCAATAAATCGATTCACCAACTTAACCCCGTCCACAGTAAGCACTGATACTCACATTCATGACAACTGTGCACACAGATCAGTCTGATCAAACGGTCTTCGGCTGCTTGAGTCTACATTCACGGTCTCGAATCGTACTCTGTGTATGGATGTGATGCCATCATGTATGTGATGTGTAGTTACAGGTTTTCCAACGGCCGGGTTCCAATGCCTGAACAATGATTTTGTTTCGGAATTAATTCGGAATTTTAACTAGCCAGAGGTCATAATCAGAGTTAACTTTACTCCGTGGTCTGTAGTCTGCAAGCGAACTATACCGACCGAGCAACCGCCGCTTGTCGGCGAAGTTAGTGCCAACTTTTACGTATAGAGGGTGTCGCGTGGTAAGCGCAACGGATCACAACGACCGTTACATAATCAGAGTTACCAGCAGAAAATGATGACATTCAAGACATAAGTTATGAGTATTAATTATAATTACAAACAGTTACAAAAGGCCGGTTTAGAACTCCGGCTACGCATGTAAAGGGTGAAAATCCAGGTCGACTACTTCAAGGAAGCAGAACGCTTCATGACATAACAAACATAAGAGAATTTTTCTTTCGCTTAGATCACTGCGTGTATAACAAGTTTGGCAGTCGAGCAATAAACTTCCTGTGAACCAGAGTACGCATCTCAGCTTCCGTGACAATTGCACATGTGTACATTTGCAAGAAATAGCCTGAGAAAGCAAGAAAACAACAGTTTACAACCATTAACTGAGTGCCAAGATCCTTATAAACAGGAAGAGTTCGTATATGCGTTAAGAATGTTATAAGAACTACATGGCACGAGACAATGAACAGTAAAAGAAAACATTAGGAAGAGAACATCCCTACAATTTTATGACATAACGGTAGCCTTTGCACTGTTATGAGATGAAACTTGGATGTTAATACTAGAGACGGGAGAAGACTTCATGAAGAAACGGAAACTCTTTAGCAGTGCTAAAGGGTGTACAAAATTATATAAAACTAAGGAATTAAATATAATGAAGAAATGAAGTGAAGACGGGAAGTGGTAAATATAAGTTTAAGAAACAGCGCATGTATTTCCAATTACAGAGCGGCAGACGAGTGTACAGGTGTTTCACTACAGCCCAGATGCCGGAGTACTGTAGCGGCATCTTAATAAAACTATGATTAGGTCAGAGATGAAGTGTACATAATCAGTAAGCTCGTCATAATGACGACGGGAAAAAAATCGGTACCAAAAGGGCATATGCTTATTTAAAAATCCGCACAAAATTAACCAACTGTAGTTCGGAAGTAGAAAATTATTAAATTACGTGTGTTACATAAAAATTTTGTACTTTCTAGTGAAATGTTTAGTGACAAGAGGTTGGAGAAAACTGTATAATGAGGAGCTTTATAACTTGTACTCTTCTCCAAGTATAATTAGACTGATCAAGTCAAGGAGGATGAGGTTGGTAGGGCATGTAGCACGAATGGGCGAGACGTGGAATGCATATAGGATTCTGGTGTGAAAGCCAGAAGGAGAGAGACCACTGGGAAGACCAAGGTGTAGGTGGGTGGACAATATTAAAAGGGATGTTTGAGAGACAGGATGGGATGGTATGGATTGGATTAATTTGGCTCCGGATAGGAACCAGTCGAGGGCTCTTGTGAACGCGGTAATGAACCTTCGGGTTCCATAAAATGCTGGGAAATTCTTGGGTAACTGCAGATTTGGCTTCTCCTCAAGAAGGGCTCAGCTCCATTAGTAAGTAAGTGAAATGTTTAGGTTCCTGAATTTTTATGTGACTTATAAATTAAGTTCACGTTTTATTTTACCCTTGATGGTAATGACTGTGGAAAGGTTAGCACACCAGGGACACATGCGGTAAGAATACGACTACTCAGTCGTTCCCAAACCCATGCAAAACTGTTTTAAAAAAAGCTTCAATGGCAAATCGAGAAATCTCTGAGACATTCGTGGATTCGCAATCCCACTAATATAACCTGCTTTCAAATGCAGTCTCAAATCTGACAGGCAAAGCTCATTCTCGGTTATAGCACCGTGCGTAACATAACGATACATGATGGACACTCAGCGGTTTCTTACCTGTGTGAAGAGCCATGACGTGACGAGGGCCAGACCGCTGTACTGACCATTGAAGCGGTAATGATACGCATAGAACGAGAAGTGATACAGGTAGAAGAACCTGCAACAAGAAACCCAATCATTCCTTCATTGAAAATCACGTTATTAACAACATTGTTCAAAGTAGTGAAGCTATAATCACTTATCAGAGAAGCAGAGGAAATGTTACCTGCTACCTCTACACGTCTCGTCCAGACAAACATAACTGAAAATTAAATTAATGACGCTGTCAGAAATAACTTGAACAGCTCGACCAACAACTTGCAACGGCTCGGTAAAAAAGTTACCACGGCAACAAATATATAATAATGATATACTTGTTGGTGGCGTCGTTTTCTATGCTGTCCGTGTCTCATCAAAAGAAAGACGATTACTTCTTCCCAAAAGTTCCTTCTTCAAGTGCATGTTACGCAGTGTTACGCTAAGAGCGAAGGATGAAGTAGAAAAAATGTGGAAGTAAGAAGTTGTTACATGCTTCAAGGTGCTAACCCAGTACTGTCTAGAGGATCCGGCTCATTGACGGGACGGGATTCGAACACGGGTCCACCTCAATATGATGGAATGCTAAAGCACTTTACACCGACGTTTGACAGAACTTTCCGCAGAAAAGTGTGGTGCATAAAACTGCGGAAATATGTGGCTGGGCCTTCAGTTTCAGCCGGGAAGCATCAAATATCACTTCCCTGTGTAAGGAGATATCATCTTCAGGTAATATCGTTATCACAAGTTTTTAAACCTCCTGTAGGCTATTTTATTGCGTGAGCTTCAGAGCTCCCGTCAGCTCAATCAGAAAGCCTCTGAAATTAGATTTTGATGAGGACATAGTTAAAAAAATAATGTTTGAATCAATGAGTTAAGTCCGCCCAAGGATGATACTGTAACAGATTTGATCAACGCGTTGCCAAGCAAGTTCTGTAAACACGGTCCAATACGCAACAATAGTGGCTGTGTTTTCTGTAAATCCGGCCGATGCGCCAGTAGACTGGCTGGATAGTGATCACGTGATATGTGTTTCCTATGATGCATATCCGTTCCGCGTTTATATAACGAGAGTCGTGCGCTGTAAGTTCAGAGCGAATTGGAACTAGGAGTACAGAAGAACTAGAAGTCGATCTGTGAAGACTTAAACGTCTGATCAGAAAACTTCATTTATGTGTAATATTTGGAGTGTGTAATTCAGCGAGACTTCTAGAGTTTCCATGTTATAAGTATGTGAGGACTAGTGCAGATAGACTCGGAAGATTAGTGTGGTGTGATTGAAAATTGTGTAAATCAGCAATAGTGTTATAATTATTTGTAGTTATGACTTTTTTGAGTACCCAATGAATCCAATTACCAATTCAAACCCGCGTCCTTGTCATTGTGACATGTGACATGTGACAATATTTAGCAAGTTTGTCGAAAGGTACAGAATAAAAATCAGGTTTTATGAAGGGCATTCATAGTCTTGTAGTGTAGCAACCTGCCTGTAGCACTTATAAACAAGAATGGAGAACTTTCTCCATCATACAAACAAATGTTTTTATTATTTCACTCACATGTTTTGGTCCAGACGGGCCATATGTGAGAAATATACAAATGATTACGGAAGTATATAAAATTGCAATGCTACTATAAATTTGAGTAACTTCTGTGGGGATAACAGTATTCCTGCCGAGGTTCGAACGGGGGATCTTCCGAATGCAAATGAAGAGTCACAGTTTCAGATAACTTAATTGGTTATATGAAGAGCTTCGACTCCCAAACCAAAGAACTAACTCGATGGGACAAGGTGTTCCATGATAAAATTGACAGTAAAGAAATTCTTTGATGCTAGGCAAGGAAAATGTTTTACCGTGTTCGCTAACTCCCACCTTAAAGAGACTGCTGACCAAACTGATTTCTACTCACATACTCAGAGCTCATTTCTTTAACAGACATTTTAATATTATCTTCCAGCTACCTTGGTCAACCAATTTCTCTTTCTCTAATTCTGAATGCATACTTAAGTTATCGCATAAATGCTGTATGAACTGTATGGGTGAAAATGATATATTACAAAGCTCTTCATATATTTTGTGTAGTTCTTTGTAATTTCATCTCTCCCAAGTAGAAACATCAGGAGATTCGTTCTCCCTCAGCGAGCAGCCAAGAAAGAACATATTTAATTTATTTCGTATGTTAACGTCCTGTCAGCATCGAGAATACAACGTCGGATTATAGAATGAATAATAAAAATGTCTCCATACTTGACGTTACAAAGGAATTTCTGTGTACGTGCTACACGCTCAGCTCATTTGGCCCGCCTTGCATTGTTCACACAGCAATATCGCCCTGAAAACCTAAAACCTCTAAACACATACGGACAATGTAGTCCGTTGAAAGCCAAACGACGTTTCGGTAAAACACATCAATTCCATCATCAGGGTCGAAGAATAAGCCATGCAAGAAACCAGCATGAAAACAAGTGGCGAGCTTGGCTTATCTTCAACCGTGAAGATGGAAGCGACATTTTCGTCCCAAACATCGGTTGACTTTTAACGGACAATATCTCATAAGATACATTTCTTCAGACAGACATTTTTTGGAACACCCGGTACAATATGTAACGCGGGACTCAAACCCATGCCATCACGCTCTTAAAGATACTTTGATATAATGTCTCCTAATGCCCAGGAGATGAAAGAGGGTCCGCTACGTAACAGGATAACTCGGTATATAGAAGGAAGAAACTCCTTATTGTTGGGCCAAGTAAAATGGATGCTGACACGGGACTGCGACAAAGGAAGAATGTCTCAGTTAAGTCCAACTGCTACCGGACTGCACACAGAGAATTAATCCGCCGCCATACATTACGTTCTCAGCCTGCATCAAGTGCTCTTAACGCGGCGCAAAAGGAAAAGTTTCCTACGCCCACTAAATTACAGATTCACTTACTTCGTTTTCTTATTTCTTTTTTTATCCCTACGAATCCGGAATTTCGTAACCAGCAAACAACACCTTCTAAGAAACGCTGAACATCCCCCCCCCCACAAGGCTTTCATCCTACAGTATGGTGCTTCAACATACAAAGGCTGCGAAGAATGGAGAAAATAAAAAACACACACACATTATCCCACCCTGAGATTCTTAGGTCTTTGTGACCAAGTCGTCTGAATCTTAAATTCGATAATCCTACAGAGATAATCAAAGCTTTCGTATCTAGTTCTTATGTGCAACGAAGCGTGTGTAATGCTATATGAGTAGCGTATCCGATCAGGTACCAGAACCCCTTGTCTTGTGCATGCATGCTGTAATATATCGCATTCCGAACAGAGAGGTGTGTTGTATTTGACCTCTCGTACCTACACACACCACTAGAACACATATCCATATCAGCAATTTTTATACAAACTTCAATCACAGGCAAAAATTTAATATTTAAACGAATATCAAGCCATGAATTTCATATACATAACAAACAGGCCTATAAGACGTTCCAAAAAAAATATGACGCTTGCTTTCCTGCATATGATTTGGTGTATAGGGTGAGAGAATAATTAATAAGAAGTTCTGGGAAGAACTAATCGCCTCCTTTCCTTTGATACGATACGGACGACATAGAAAATGACGCGTCCAATAAGAGCAGTCTTTTCTGGTTCTACTATTCCGGCTTTCAGGAATCAGGCAGGATATACAAACACACAAACAGCAAGTCTCCTTTTATTTTTCGAAATAAGAAAAGTAGGCTAAAAATTGGATATATGTCATTTGAGGTTCTCATGGATATGACGCCGTGTAGTTACTGGATACGTATCAACGTTTCAAAGGAACCTCCTCCCTCAAAGTTCAGGATACAGGAATGGCCGACCCTGAATAAGGAGGCAGGTTTCACCAAAACACTAATACGTATCTACCAAACTATACGGCGCCACAATACACACGACCGTAATAATGTTCATCCCGTTGGGAACCTCAAATTTCATGAAATAACAGTTGTTTATTCTGAGAATCATACGAAACTTACACATTCAGTGTCGCCAAAGTGCAGAAATGTGAAGGTTACACAACTCACTCCATGGCTCTCAGCGCTGCTTGAGAAGCGCCAGTTGCGCAGGTACTCAAGAATTCTCCGACACTTTATGTAACCCGAAGGTTCATTACCGTGTTCACAAGAGCCGAGTCAGATCAATTCAGTCCATACCACCCCATCCCATCTCTCGAAGAACCATTTTGGTATTACCCTCCAACCTACGTCTAGGTCTTTCTAATGGTCTCTTTCCTTCTAACTTCCCCACCAAAATCCTACACGCATTCCTGTTCTGCCCATGCGTGTTACATGCCCTACAAACCTCATCCTCCTTGACTTGATCATTCTAACTATACTTGGAGAAGAGTACAATTTATGAAGATCCTCGTTATGTAGTTTTCTCCAACCTCATGTCACTTCATCTCTCTTCGGTCCGCTCTGTGAATGTTGCAGAAGGCGGCATAAATAAAGACTACACGAATATATTAAGAAACTATGGCGATCGGCATATAGACCGTACTTCAAGCAATATGAGTGCAGGGATCTACAGCAACATACTGCACACGGACAAGACCCGAGCTTCGTAGCACTGAATTCCCAACAGGCGCTTCGCTGTTCTGCGGTCTGTCACAGCGCCGGGGGAACAGCGAACCTTTCCCATCGCCTGACGGCACTCTGTCCACTTACGTTTCAGACAACCATATTCTTCTGACAGCCAACACAGGCACGAAAACAGTTTCATTCCAAGGTACAAGCGTACACGGTCCACATCTCAAGCAATATTTCAGCGGCTTCTGCATGCCCACAGCGAGCATCGCCAACGCAAGTGTATGTAGTCATCACATTCCGGAGGTCGAAGTTAGTTCCGCTGAAAGACTCATTATATGGACACTGTTCAATGCTTTACAGATTAATATTCTGGGAGGTCATAGTATCGGTCATTCTAAGCAAAAAGGTACATGCCCTGGGGTCGACTCAGCCTCTAACAGAAATGAATACCAGGAATCTTCCGAGGGTAAAGGGCGGCTGGCGCGTAAGGCTGAAAACCTCGCCGCTATCTGTGAGCCGACTGC